CCACTAGAGGAAAGGTAACTGAAGTCTGAATAGCAAGTTTCGGAGCTGATCAATCATCGGGTGATTATGGTACGCATTCTTCCTGAAACCCTTATCGGACACGCCGTATTCATTACAGGTTCTTACGAGCTCCCCTTGAGCGGCACAAATCTCAGCGTCTTGAATTTGCAGTTGACGGAAGAATACGATAGCACGGTAGGGATGAGTACTCAGTCATCGAAAGGTCAGCCACTCGGACATATGAGGTAACGTTCATGAATATGGACCTACTAGCCGCCATCCCTCCGGATATACTTATCGAAGAGGTCGTCATTGTAGCATGACACACAACGAGTTCAGAGGAAGAAAACAACCACCGTCGGTCATGATTGATCCCTCCCATTTCGCAGTAGCTTTACAATGCCCAGGCAGTCAAGTATAGATCACTGTAGTTAGGAGCCTGGTAAAACACGATGCCTGTTGTAGACAAACAAGTGCGGGACAGTATCTTTAGGTATAGTACAGCTAAAGCTAGTAGTCTCTATAGACTATTAATTCGGATCAAAGTGAATTCAGGTTGTGATAACTGTATGTAATGTGAGGTTAGTTTATAGTGCATCACTCATGTACCTCCTCGAGCATCTGCAGTTTTTCGAAATTGATCTCAAATTTTCCCAATGCGTTTTGCTGTTTGTACTGCTGTAGTTGTTACCAGTGCCGTTGCTGTGGCCACTGCCACTGAGGATGCTTGCTCACAGATGTGCTCGGAGGTCGATGGATGCCGCGGGTCCAAGTATGGTTCATACTGCAAGGGTTGGATGACACCTTCTATTTGCTTCGGTCTCGTCAGAAGAACTGACGGCTCCTATTGCTTCCAGCCTGGTGATGTTAGCTGCGTCGGCGAGGCCGTACCCTGTTCCATGGGTCATGTGACCACCGCTGAGCCCACTGAATCTCCTCTCACCACAGCGGTTCCCGCAACCAAGTCAGCGTCTACTACTAGTGCTTCTATTGCGACTACCGCTACTGAGGTTAATACCACGGCTG